CTACCCCCAGCCCGTTGCTCTATTTTAACGCTTAAACTGGCGCCTCTGATGGCAAAATAAATAGGAACACTAGCCCCAGTCGCGGAAAGACATGGCGACACGTTCGTTGAAGTTGTCTAATAGGCCTTCGTAGTAAGGAAGCGCCCTCCATCCATACGTTACTCGGCGCTCCTGGGGGCCGACGAAGTTGCCCCAATGCATCGATCCCCAGTCGGACCAACTCGTCTTGCTCAGAACAAGATTTGGGGTCAAAGACGGCAGCGGCGGCAGCGGCTGGGCGGCCGAGGAGGTCGCAGACGTTGAAGCTCCAGGTGGCGGCGCTGGTGGAGGACGGCAGTCTGCGGATCCCGGCCGGCGTGCGCAAGGGGTCGTTGCTGGGGTTCTGGGACCCGGCGCCGCTGCGGCGCAAGGCGCTCCACGTGAGGTATATGTGGCGCGGCAGGGAGAGCACGGTGGAGGTCATGGGGCGGGACGAGCTGGTCCTCCCGCCTCCGAGGAGGGACGCGTCGTGATTTGAAGATGATTTGAAGGTTTTTGCTTATGATGATGTACACGTATTAGATGAGGGGAGGGTGGTTTGCATTGTGGGAGTCTTTGGGGGACGGACGGGGTTGCATGGGAAAAGGTGTTTTGCCGGTTTATATATCCCACCTCAGTCATTCCGATAGAACGGAAGAATCCGAATCTCGTATCACGGCGTCTCGTTATGTGGAAAACAGCATGGTTCTCACTGTTGGACTTGCTAATTAACGTCTTCATCCTCGGGGCATTCTCTGAGGAAGACAGACATCTCCCAGCTTCGTTCCTCCTTTCCACCGCCATGCCGAGAATTAATTTCCTTGGCTACTTTCCTGACTGACCCCACCAAGAGACAAACAAAACAGCATTGCATTGGTCTCTGCATGATTGCCTATACGCGCTATCCGTAGCCGTCTTTCGCGGTGCAGACATGGGGGTGTCTGACTGCAGACGATGCGGGTGACTCATCTCTCGGTAAAGTCCTCGCTTCGCCGACGAGACCGGAGAGACAAGCTCGGGCCGCTGCCGAGAATCCGGGGCGCAGAGGGCCCCCGCTTCCCCCATGAGGAAACCCTGTCGACCCACCGCGGCGAAACTGGCCTATCGGCATCTTATCATTTCGCCGTCATCGGTGAGAGGCGCCCTTTCACGTCTTTTCTGACACATCAAAGGCCACAACAAGCGAGTGAGTGTGTTCCCGGGCATCAAAGGGGGACGGAAAGAAAAAAACAACAACACACGAACGTTGAAACTGCGAAATCTCATTCCGCCACGGTGGTTTTTTTTTTTTCTTCTCTTCTTGTTCGCGGCATCGAGTTGAGTGCTCCCTCCCCTCTCCCGATGGCAGCATGCAATGAAACCCCGCCCAGCACTGAGGCCGGCAGCAGAAGCCCTTTGGAAGACGGGCCGCTGCCGCCAATCAAGTCGACCGCGTGAGCCCCTTTGAGTAGCCATTTCTTCATTTTCTGGCGTCATTTTTTCTCTCATTTTCTTCTTTTCACTGACGAGCGTTCGAGCGCACAGCTGCCGCAGATGTCATTCGAGAAAAGTCAAGTGTTCGGGCGACCAGCCCTGTCGAAACTGCCGGCAGGCCGGGAAGGGGACCGAGTGCACGTACCCGCGCCGCAACAGGCAGGTCAAGGTCAGGCAGAGGTAAAATCCTGAACGAAGAATCGTGTTCCCCCCCCCCCCCCCCCCCCATCCGAATAGACTGGGTGGGGAGAGCCTACCTGCCACCTGGGCGGAGGAACCAGGGTGGTCTGGAGGGAAAAACAACCTGTCCAATATGAAGGACAGCGGGGGAATACAAGAGGGGATACTTAAGAAAAACACAACCCGGGATAAAAGGAAACCAAGGAACAGACCAAAAACATCCCCCTTCCGCTCCGGAAAGATCTCGTTCAATCAATGGCCGCGTAATTCTATTCTGTAGCGTGGACAAAGTGAAAGAACTACCCACCGAGCGAACCGGTAATGGTTTCGGAAAAGAATAACAAGGGAGGATGGATATGCAAAGGTAATGAGCGGTGCCACTCTTAACAAAGATAACCAACTCAATAAAAAATA